GAATGTCCTTATGAGTAAGCATATTTCGAATCGTAGCTACAGAATGGTGAGTGTATTAATGCCTGCTTTTTTCCTATGTGATCTAACCATATTTGCTAGCATCATGACTGGCATTTTTAGCAAGCATGTAACTTAGTTACATTTCTATTACATGTTAACTGTTGAAAATATAATTAATGTGTTTATTAGCATTTGTTAACATCAGAATCCAGTTGCTTTTTCTGCATGAGTTTTACAGTTAGCAAGAGGCAAACTGTGTATACAGGCAGTCTCTGAGTTACAAATGTCCGAGTTACAAAGAACCCGTACTCACGAATGAACTGCCATAAAGCCTATTAATTTTTTTAAATTACTGCAGAAAAGCATTATCATAGACAGGGAGGAAGAGAGTGGGGGAAGCCTCTGTTTTCATCCAGAGAGGGAAATCTATTTGGTATTTCCTTGCTGCGAAGAGGGGGCACTGTTGAGTTTGGACAGCGGGGAAGGGGTAGAGATATTTGCAGTTTTTCCACTTTCATGGGGTGTCCTGCACCTCTAAGCCCACAAATGTGGAGAGCTGGCTAAATGTGATCCAACTTGCATACAAATTTGACTTAAAGATGATTTCTGTTTTCTCAGGAATGGAACTTGTTCACCATCCAGGGACCCAGGTAACTTGTACTTCTATTCCCGTGTATAAGTTTCATAAAATATTGTGTGTTTTAAAATTTCCCTGTATTTCTGCCATCCTGAAATCCCTCCTGGCTTTTAAATAATCCCTTTGCTATTGTTTAGAAGAGATAATGTTACATTCGATGCAACTAGATGAAATACGATGACAGGAAAGATGTGGTTGTATACAGCTCAGTATATAGCCATCAAGTAACATTAATGCTTCCTGCATTTGATATGAGATAAAGGTTTGATATGAGATAAAGGTATACCTTTGATCCTATAAGTCAGGGGTGGCATTGTGTGCATTGAACTTGCACCAACTTTATTTCAGACACAATGCACAATTTGCTTTCTTACGTACACCAGTATTTGTCATACTTTGTGCTGTAGGTTGTTATCCAGTCACACATCAGTATGATCAATGTGAATCCAGTCTAGAGCATAGATGAAAATAGCATGAATACTTCATCATAGAGAAAAAAAAATCTAATGGCTAGGAAGTAAATGGAGGCAAAATTTGTGCACCTGCTTAATGCAGGTGTGCAAGTTTCCCCTCCATTTACTTCTTAGTCCTTAAAATGGTGTACTTTTTACTTCCCAGCCATTTAATTTTTGTACTGAACTCTGATTTTATTTATTCATCAAACTGTCAGTAACTGCAGCAATATGTGCTCCAGCAAGGAACTGTAAAAAGGCAGAGGAAGTTCATAGCTTCTCCTTTAGACTACCCACAGACTCAAGGTTAAGTGTTGAAAAGGTGGCAGAACTGAGAAGGGTCAATTTAACACTGAAAACTGAGAGGATCACATTGTCAAGTGGCTATTTTCCCCTTCACCATTTTAGTGCACCTTCTTTCAGCACTTTCCCCCTTTACTAGTGGTTTTCAATTGAAATTGAGCATAAACTAGCCTATATGTTGTTTCACCTTGTCAATCTGTTACTTACTTCTCTTTGCTGTTATCTTGGAGAGTTGAAGCAAACCAGGAAATTGAGCAACAAGATTATAAACATTGGTCATCCATAAAAGCACACTTACAAAAGAGTGTGAATAAAGAATATTCAAAAAGAATAACTTAAATAATATGATCACAGCTGTGCATTTTGGAGGCACCAAAAACATGACCCCCATAAGTGCTTTTTCAGGCTGCTGCTGCTGCTGCTTCTTTGGGTGACTAACAGGCACAGCCAACAGAGTGGGGAGGGAAGACAAGATGGGTTCTGCCATGGAAGATGCTGGTTGGAGGATGAAGAGGGGGACCACCTATAGGAAGCTAGATCATCCCTCAGCTGTACCAAGGGTTGTTCAATGATCCACTAAACCACCATGGCCTATTTGCAGGATGGCTTAGCATGACATGCAAACCTGCCCATTGTCACCAGCTACTCCTGCTTTTTCTGGTTGTTGTTATCAAATGCTTGCTTGCTAGAGTGAAGAAGCTGGGGGTGGAATCTACTCCTCCTTTGGACCATGCCATTGTCTCAGCTGGAGGGAGAGACTGGGGAACAATCAGTTTGCAACGGTGAATCACAGGAGCAGGTCCATGGAGCTCTTTCAGTAAGTTCCCAGTTAGAGTGTGGACCCCAGAAGGTACCCCACCATGCCAAGTTGTGATGCTGACCTTGTAAGAGAACTTCCTTTCCACTTCAGGTGACTGACAATATGTGCCTGACAGAGTTTTTCAGGAGTGTGACATGTTATTTGTTTCTTTATGAAAGATATATCCATTCAGGAAGAAATGTGAAACAATACAGTGTGCAAGTCTTCTTGCATATATAATCTATATCTGTAACATGTATTTAGTTAAGGCTGCACTCCTATGCATAATAATAAATAATAGCTCCGCTGAATTCAGTAGTGTTTATTCCAGAGTAAACATACATACAATTGCTCTTGCTTTTCGTTAACAAGCAAAAATCTGTGTAACATTCATTTCAATGGAAATAAGGTTGACTTAGTGGGCTTCCCTTCATAAAATGCTCCCTCCATAAAATGTTAAATACAAAAAAGTTATTTTGTACAAAAGTTTTGTTTTTGTATTTAATTAACAATTTAAAGTTCAATATTTCAATATCAATATTTCCTCACAATATTGTAACATTACATTTAGAGAGAAAAGAAATGTGTATTGAATGAATAGTTTAAATGCCATAATGTTGATGTTTCTTCTCTTATTTAGAAATGAAAAAAGCAAAAAGCAAAATTGATTCAGTCCTAAGAAGTCAGGAAATTTATATGCCTATTTAATAATTCAGGATAATGCATTGTAAATTTGCATACCCTATTAGTTTTTTAGAACACAAATGAAATGCTAAACATTATGTGCAGTTTAGCAACAAATTTCAAAACTTGCAATGAGGAAACCTAAATCGATGGGTTTAATTTCAAGATACAGAGCCTTTTATAACAGCTTATTTCTTATTTATGTGTGCAAAAAGCAACAAAAGAATACTATGCATAGGCAAAGGTTACAGGTAAAGTGTAGCATGTGGGAAGGGGACAGTTAGACCTTCCCCAGCTGCAATCCCCCTTGAAAATGGACCCATGGGTAGCAATTGAGAAAAAAAGAAACTTTCATAATAACAAAGGAAATTTGGGACAGTGCAGAATAAATTCAGAACCTGGAAAATAAGTGGGGAAGGCTTTAGTAATGACCCCGAAGAGCAGCAAGCAGGTCTTTTTTCCATATTCTCCTGTCCAACTTTCTTGTGGTACTCTGAACATGCAAACACTCTGACTTCACTGGGGTTTTCTTCCTGCTCTTTTGGGGCAATATATTGCCTGTTGGAGGAGACCTAGAAATCCCAAAAGCTTTTTGTAATCATAGAATAGTAGAATTGGAAGGGGCCAGAAGGCCATTGGATCCAGCCCTCTGCTATTGCAAGACACTAAGTTACACCATCACATTCAGATGGCTGTCCAGATGCTTTTTACCTGTTTGGCCAAGTAAAGGTAATACGGATTTCTGGTATTCAGTTTTGCAAATTGTTCATTCCCCAACACAGACATAGCAAGTCAGGCTGGCTGCCTTAGTTTCTGATGGGAAGGGATAACTGCCGACTGATTGTGTAGGTAACTGTTAAGTGTCCATATTCTTTCTTGTCCTTCCAACACTACCAAAGAATCAAAGAAAAGACTGGGTTGGCACTCCATATCACTTGGCAGTGGATGGATTTAAGTCCCACATGCATAACTGGATACTAATTGGGAATCTTGAAAACTGGTTCAGGTAGAACTAGGAAGGCACCTTGTCCGAAACTGAAGAGCAGCTGACAGCTGACAGCGTTAACAAAACTGGTTAGTTAGATGTAGACTGACCTCAGTATGAAGTAGCTTCCAGTAGTTTTATAGAAACGTTTTCTTAATTCACCTTAACCACATTGTCAAGTTGCTATTTGTTAACGAAAAGGCATGTTAGGGTAAATGTTAGCCTCAGATTTACTCCCGAAAATTTAGCAGCTGCACAAGAGCAGGTGAAGCTGTTTTCATCACTCATCTGCGTTCCAGAGGAGGGGGACATTTTGGCTCCTGAATTTCAGCTGGACATTTAGCTGTTCGGAGGCACAGGAGCCCCACCACAAACAAACCCGTTAGTACTATGGTAATCCTATATGGCTTGCAAAACTTACACCCGCATCTTCTATTTTGTTTTACTTCTGTCATACAGGAACTTGTAATGCTAGTTTTTGTTGTTTCTTTTTAAGTTGGGGAGGGGTAGGGGGAAGCACCAGGAATCAAAAACCATGGGGACACACGCACCCCCAAGATTATTCAACAGCCACAGTATCTCCCGGAAGTAGCACGTACGCTGTTGCAGGCATACTTTATGTTTATGACTGAACAGCCCGATCCTAATCTGTTTCCTCGTAAAGTTGAGCTACATTTAATGAGATTTACTCGCGTTTACCCGGCCCGGTTCTAATCTGGGTCTGGGAGGGAAATTCAGGCAGTGATTTGATACAGGAAACTAGGATAGCTCTTGAGATGGACACGGGGAGGGGAAAATGCAAAGGCAGTTAAATGCGCAACGTCGGACGGAGGCATCCTCTGGATATGGCGTCGCTTTAACCGAATGAGGACGTTTCAAGCTTCCTCTTCCACCGCCTGCTCTTGCAGCCTCAACGGAAAGAGGCCGCGGCCTGAGCAGCAACCAACAGTAGCGGCTGCCTCAAGCAGCCCAACCCTGGCGGGGGAGGGACCGGAGGAGCCCCGAAGCAAAGAATGGTCCATGCGCGGAGCTGCCTTAGAAGGCGGCTCAGCTAAGCACCAAGCAGGAGCCGCTCTGCCGGGAAGGGGAAACCAGCCAGACTCGGGGGCGGCGACTTCTTTCTCGGCCTCCCTCCCTTCCGCGCCCGTCACAGGGGATGTTGTTACTCCACGGCTTGACAGCGGCGACCGTTTTTGCATGAAGCTTTTCTGCGAGCGCAAGGCCAGCGGGCGCGTTTGGCTGGGCAACATGCAGCAGAAACAGCAGCCGGCCCGGGAGGAGGAGAAAAAGGAGTGAGGAGGAGCCGCAGAGGCGGGTTCCCCCACCCATACACTTTCGGGTCGCTCGTCGCGCGCGTGTTTCTTTTTCCTTTCGTTTGATCTTTTGGTCACCCCGCAGCAGGAAAATGGAGCCCTTTCCTAGTAGCGGTGAGTACGCTGCCCCTTGGGCTTTGGTCTCTCTGCGCGCCAGCTGTACCCAGGCTCGCTGCTGCTGCTGCTGCTGCTGCTGCTGCTGCTGAAGCTGAAGGAATTAACCGGTCCTTCGGCGGCTGCCCAAGAAAGGCCGTGCCCCGGCTCTGAAACTTGCGGCATTCTCAAGGCCGCGCAGCTCCAAGCAGCCTGAAGGTCGGGACTCTCCTTCCCGAAAGTTAGCGCGTGGGGGCGGCAGCGCGCGCGCCAGCCCCTCTCTCCCCCACCCCCCGTGAAAGCTTCGAGGTAACCGAGCTACGAAAAGGCTTCATAGGGGAAACTGCAGCGAGCGGGGGCTTTTCCTCGCTTGAGAGACGTGTGTCCTGGAGCAGAACGTCCTGGATGTTGGCGCTACGAGTGGCAGCTTTGGAAAGGATTCCTGTTGAAGGTTAGGGTTTGGCTGGAACTGAGGTGCGCCCAAGTGCACGGAGGGCGGCGGGGAGGGTTCCCTGCCCGGTTCCGGGGCTGTACGCCAGTTACATCAGAAGAGGAGACCCCTCGGCGTGCTTCCAGACGAGCGCGTCTGTGCGCTACCAAGCAAAAACCATCCAGGCGCTCGGCTTCCTTTCCCTTCCCCCACGCAATTGTGTTTGCGCGGAATTTTATGGTTGGGTCCAGACAACGGGTGTTTGTGCCGCCTTTGCTCTGCGTCACTCAGTGGAAGTTTTGGGACACTCATGCCATTTTCTATACGTAACCCTGCCAGTTTTCTTACAACTCCTTCTGGGTGAGATGCATCTGAAGGAGAGAGAAACACACGAAGCGTGCAATGCCTTCCTTTTTCTAGTGTTTGGAGACTTCCTTCTGGACAGTCCTCGCATTGCCTGCCACTTGTAACTCTTTTGTGTTTTCCTATTGCTGCTTCTATCATTTTTATTACCATAGAAAATCCTAGGGTGGAAGATAGCATTTGCGTGGGAGCTACTGATTCTTCTTCAGTAGGCCAACCAATTTAGCTTTATTGGGGACCTAATCTGGAGAGCGGTGGGTGTCCATAGGAGCTAGGTGGAAAAGCCACTTACGTATCTGGGGCAAGAAGCTTCTCCGGTCTTAATTCGGTACTTAAACGAACATTACAGTCATTACTGATCTTTAGGTAATGTGAGCAAAGTTACTCTTACCTGGGTTGCACAAACCAAGAATACTTTTTTAGTTCTCTGTGCATGAATTTTGAACAATGTGGGTACTGATGGGTTTTTCTTTTGTGAAGCCTTCATAGGGATTCAGTATAGTAGTTGCAAGGTTTGAGTTGCTTTCAGGTAATTTGATAGGAGTATATCAACAATGCTGTTTCATGTATATTCATAGTTACACTTCATATGTAGAATGCAGTAAGTATTTTAAAATGTCCAACAGCAGAAAACTAAGTTGGTGTCATCAAATTGGTTTTTTGGGGGGGCGGGGGGATCTGTTTGGCAAAATGTAATATTGGATGTAGATGAAAGAACAGGTGTGAACTTGTTCTCTTTTATTGTTGAATGCCAGCTACTGTTTAGCCTTGAGAAATAATAAGTAAATTTATTAGGTTTACTTAGAAATAATAAACGTATTAGGTTTCTTAATAAAATTTTAGTATTGAAAGGATTAAAAGTTAGCATAAATACTGTGGAATGTTTTTCGCAGTCTTTTCTTGCTTTTTAAAAAGTTCTTTCTAACAAAATGGTAATAAAAGTCGCTACCAAATGACTATTTGGTAATTCAGTGACTACTAGTGTGGCATTTAAATCTGTAATAAACTTTGTGTCAGTTAAATGGAGTGGATGCTTTTGGTGAAACTCTCACTGCTAAGGATTTTTATCTGTATAAGAAATGAAACTGAAAACATGGCTTGATTACTGCTCAGCCAGAAACACTCTCTCTGTAGGTGTATTTCTAGCAAAGAAAAGGATGCTATACTCCATGGGATGTTGGTGGAGGATTTGAACTACTCAGTCCAGTACAGCACTCTGACACAACACTACACTGATTTTCAGGTGTATGCAGCACATGCGGCCCACCAGCTGGGCTTTCCTTGGTTCAGTCTGCTTATGGAGTGAGGGAATTAAGGCAGTTGGTCAGCATAGCATTTGCAGGGAAGAAATGTATGGTCTCCCATCTTTGGAACAGTCTGTCTTCTGTAGCCTACCTGGCACCAAATGTGCCCTTTTTTCAGTACCAGGTTAAGACAACCTTCTTTGTGGAGGCCTTTAAAGATCTCCCTGTTCATTCAGAGGCCAGACACATTTAGCCAGATGCCTTTCTTTTATTCTTGGCTGGATCTTTTTAATTGTCTTTTTAGTATCTTTTAATGTTCTTTTATGCTATTTTAAATTTATTTTTAATTCCTGTTAATATTTTTATCTATTGAATATTATTGTTTTTATACTTTGTTGCAAACCACCTAGAGAGCTTTGGCTACAGGTGGAATAAATAAAATTAAGAATAAGAATAGATGGAGTCAAAGAATATTAAGTACTTGCTTCCTTCTGGCCACTATTTCTTCCCATTGTGCTCAATTCTTGTATTACTGCTACAAGAAAATAACTTCTAGTGAGTAGTTACTGATGATGAAAACTGCTTTACCTCTAGCATAGGCCATCTGGAGTCTGTACATGAAATGTTCAGTGAGGCAGCTTGCTGAGACATGTCACAGTTTTGTTTGCAACCCCTGTGGAATGCATTACAGCAAACTGATCACATGGATGGAACTTTTAGCTATGTGACAGTGGTAGAGAATGTGGCATCTTCTTAATAAAAGGAAAAGTAGCTGTGCAAACGGTCCCTGAAGAAAACTCCTCTAACGCAGTGTCCTCAAATCTAGCTCATCTTAGAGCAGGAGACTGGTTGGAAAATAAAGGGTCAATTGAGCTCCTTTAGCCCTCTTTGCATGTTTTATGTTCCTGGAGATAATTTATTTTAGCCATATCTAAACTGCATATTGAGGACTCTCTCTCCCAGAACCCTCCTGGTTTGTGAATCTCTGTTGCATTATAGACAAACTATAACTTAGATATCTGTTATCATTCAAGTATTACTAGCATGTTTAGTGGTTCATTTTCGCTTGTAGACATTAACTACAATGTAGTGATCTTCACTGTGAAACAATTATGGTTGTGAAGAATTCAAGTCTTGGGAGCTCAGCTGCACTTAAAATAGGAGGAGGAGACACAGGAGTGCTTCCAAGCTTGGTTTGATGGTGCTATCAAGTTGCCCCATTCAGGGAATTTATGGGACTCCAGACAGTGCTGTCATCTGCCACTCATAACTGTTCTGTGTTCATCCACTGCTGCTTTTACATTTTTTCTTACAGAGAAAAGGATAGGATACTTTACAATTGGTAGTATTAGGAGCTCTCTTTCTACAAGCACCCCATGGAAAACAGCTCCCTCCTCTTTCAGTAGAACAGCACCTATAAATATGTATCTGGCTGAAGACTAATCAAGTCATGTTTTCCATTTCTGTTCTTACACTGATAAATATCCGGAGTGGTAAGAAGCAAATGAGTTCTGGTCTTTAGTCAGGATGGGATTATGACCTTCATTCTACTGCTCCAATGCTTTGCTATAGTTGTTGTGAATCTCTAGGGTCTGACAAAAAGCATGCTTGCACTTTTTAACCAAGTCATAGCACTCTCTTTAAAGAGTTTATTCCTTTTACTGTGTGTAAAAAAAACTCCCACGCAAGTTGCAGAAATGAATGAAATTATCAGTGATCAAAATAGTACTCGTCATGGACCAAAATTGACAGATGGGAATGAATCTGAATGTTACTTACCATAAGCACAGAAAGTGAGATCTTTTGTGTATAATATTTGTGACAGATAAGCAGTCCATTTTAAGTTGGGGTTCCCCCCTTCCCTGGAAGTTGCAGGATGGCAGCCAGACTCAATGTGGCTGGAGCCACACCCTGTGACTCTCTTTCTGTGACCCCCCCTTCTCCGCACCCCACTTGGCTTCTTTCCCAGTAGGCTTTTGGGGGAGGGAAAGGTTTGTCTTATTTTTCCCCTTTCTCTTATTTCTTTCCCCTTAGGAAATTAGATGGAAAGCCATAGGCTTTTTACATGAGGACTGCGTGCTAATGCTCATGAGTGGTGTTCCAGTTAACTAGAATGTTTTAAAAATTATTTTCCTTCCCCCATGCCCCCGTCCTCAAAGTCAAACTTTTATTTTTTCAGCATCTTCAATCTGTGTGTATTTAGGCATAGTTGGTATATTCTGGCTGAGGAATGTTGCTTAGACAGAAAAAAGCCCTACATGTATAGGACTGTACCCTAAGCTATGGATGAAATTGTGCTGTTTGGTAAGAAAATTCCCCCCCTAATGAATTAGAAATAAACTAATATTTCTGCTGTGCTGAGAGAACAAGAAATAATAATTCTATGTCAGTGGTTTTAATTTCCACATCACTGCTTGGGTATACTTGGATGAACTCGATTAAGAATGCAGATGAGCATAATCCAGGTACCATTTGGCAAGACTTCAGTCTGCTCTACTGACATATACCATCTTGATCTGTTTTACCAGGGCATGTGCTGGTATGAGCATCATGTCATTGTAGAGAGATAGTGTAAAGCCAAGCGTTAGCATAGTAACTCTACGATAAATACCATCGATGGCTTCAAACAATTCTGTCATACTATTCTGAGGCTGGATAATGCTGGATAATTATCATACCCTGCTATTTTTGTACTTCACTGAAACGACAAATGTAACTGTGTGGCTTGCTAACAAAACCTTTTGTAGAATTACATTGGCAATGGATTGGAATGATATAAAATCACCAAGAAAAAAGGCCGATTTAAGCCAAAAGTTTATATTATGGCAACACTTGATGAGAACTGCTCATGCTTATCCTAACGTTGGAATTGATGGTCTGGTAAGAAGGGAACGCTAATTTTGTGTCAAGGCCAATGGGATCCCCTGCAAAGTGCCACATAGATAAGGACTCTATTTGTCCTTCTGCATTAATCACATGTGTGT